GATTTTTTTTTTTTAAGCAGTCATGTTCTTTTTGTTTTCCATAGTATCCTTTGTGAGGTTTAGCTATCCTCTGGATTATTTAACTGCTTGCTTTAAATACTGAGACACTGTTTGGTCACTTAAATTCTATTAATGATTCCTGCTGTGAAGAATAGAGCGACAATGAAACCTTTCAATCTTAGATTTCCTTCTTTGCTATAAAACCTTCACCTTCCAATATGTTAATTACACTTGAGAAACACATCTGGATGGAAAGATTTTTTATTTTGTTCTTTAAAACATAAGGCATCATAATCAGCTTTAAAGTATGATGTTTCATCTCATAGTAACAGCATCTGTTTAAGCAATGTAAAAAAGAAGAAAAAAAATGGAAACAATTATGTCAAATGAGTTTTTTTTTCTCAAAAATAATCATCTGACAGCCAAACTTCATCCCATACAGAAGACAAAAAAAGTCACATATGAGCATTGAGGGTAATTGATGTGTGCATGCAGTTCCACAGCCTACCACTAGAGGTTTGTATTGCAATTATAAAATGAAGTGGCTTTTAATAAAATATTCTTATTTATATTCCTGATGAGCAATACTTACCAAATGTGATACCTTACCTTTGAGCTCTGTCCAATAGAGGCTTAGTGTAAAGAAAAACATGCTGAATGCACATATAAGCTTAAAGTTGAAGAAAATCATAAAAAATGTGGAATATCTGGAAAAACATCCACAAACATCAGGGTTCTACATTGTCACTTATGTGAAAATCGGGAAAAACAAAAACACATTTCTGTTTGGTTGTTTTACTCTTCTGACAGTCAAGCTTAATCTTAAAATAACTAATCCAACACATTAATGACAGGCCTGAACCCATTTGCTTTGGAATTAACATTTTAAAATGGAAGAAATTAAAACTTCAACAGATCTATTAGAAAAAATAGAGACATGGATCAGGAGCTCCTAGATTTAATTCCAGCATAAATAAACAAGTTAGAATGATTTTAAGGGAGCAGCATCTCTTCCATTTAATTACAATACAGATACACAGAAAATACAGTAAAGGTCTAATGATTAGGGAATTTTATAGTTACCATCTTGAACCTTATTAAATTATGGTCAGGTTTTCATAAAAAAGGTGAGCATGGATAGACATTTTTTTTTCAGGCAAGAAGGCAATGATACAAAATAATTCAATTCAAAATATTCTAGGTCAGATTTTGATTTTAGACAAACTACTTTAAGCAGGTTAGGGTGATTGTGACTTTAACCTTCTTTGCCTGGACTGGTAAAAAAACTATGATGCAATAACAGTATGATAATGGGTGTTTGTAATAAAGATTATAAATTAAAAGTGGCCGCTGCTGCATTAGATTGATTTAATTAGGAGTGTAGGACAGATTTTATTTCAATCTTCTGGTCCCAATCTTCAAGAGCTGTAGTATTTACAAAAACAAGAAGAAAAAAAAAAAGGAAGTATAAAAGGAAAAAAAAGGAGGTATACAAAATATAATAAGTCCTACGGTGCTTATCTCAAAACTGGTTAACAAAGTGCAATTTTAGATTTTCTCCTAATGAAAAACAATTATAATCAAGTTTATTTTAGAACAATGCTTGCGAAGACATAAAAAACAAGCCACTGTAATCAAACTTTCTTTTCAATAATGAAATACCCTATTTCGAATATCAGTTAAGTGTAGCAGGTTGATAACAAGCTAACTTTTCTAATAGGCTGAGAGAGTTCCTCTTATTGTAAAATGTCAACCTCTCTCTTTTCTTGAGTTAGAAATGCTGACACATCGTTTGACATCTCAGAGTAAAAGAAGGGCTCTAGGATCCAGGAGAATATCTCAGATAAACACACACAATTTTTGTTGAGGTTTCCAAAATTAGCTAATTTCTAGAAATGCTAGCCTTTTAGCTAGCATTCTAAAGACAGTTTAAAATATCCATTAAGGACTTACCTTGGTTTTAAACCCTTAAAAATCTTTAAAACCTAAACTAGATTTTCATGTTACAATTTTTTTTGATAGTTCTTAAAGTTGGCTACAAAATTCTGATTGTTTCATCTGTACTGAGCAGCATTATAAATGTAGAGAGATAAAAAAATAAGAGTGCTAAACTGATCCCATAATGAAGCCAGAGAGTCTTTCAATGGTCCCCATTACAAACTGATCCAAGTCTCTTTTTGGACTCGTGCTTTATCCCCTTAAAGTCATCGTTCCAGAGTCAGATCGACTCTACTTCAAACAGATCTAAATCTATTCATCAGAGGACCTCGTATATCTCTGCAGTCAGATACCACAAAGTGTTCATTAGATTGGATAGAGCAGGGAATAAGCAACACAGTGTGACTTTGCTGTTCAATTCAGATCCAGGAATTCTTCAAACAGCTGAAGGAACCAGTCTGATGGATTTTGATCCACCGCTACACTGGCTCTGAACAGATCATCCTGCAGCTCAGTTTAGCTCATTTCTCTGAATCCTTGTCCTCTGCTGTTTTGGCTTTAATATTTTCAAACATGAGTCTAGCAGCTGCACTCCAGCTCTGACGCTCTGTTAGTCGGGCATATCGATGCAGAGCTTTGGTGGAGGGACAAAGTACTTCCCAGGAGTCTGTGTGATCACCACTCCGGTTTTCTTGTGGAACATGGGGGCGATCTTAGGTGGAGGCTCAGGGATAGGCAGATTCTCCACCGCCTCTGGGTCCTCGCTGCGTTGGAGGTCGTAGGACACGTTGCTGTACTACCTAAGGAAGGGCAGCAGCTCCAACAGGAAGTGACAGAAGTCATTACGGATACCAAACCACCCTGGTGGAAGAAAATACAAGAAAATTAAACAATACATTAAGACAAACGGCTTAAGATAGAAGAAAGATAAAACCATTTTTTAATTTCAAAGGTCAACGAAAACCCATTTTGATGATTCTCACATTTAAAACAGCACAGTAGTTCCCTCCTTTCTGCTCAAAGGTGGTGGCCATTGGTGTGAGCAGGGAGAGCCACAGGGGAAAAAACACACACACGTAGCTCAGACTGTTGTGGCCGTCCAGCTTGTGCACTAGAAGGATCTACGCATATAAAGATCAGAGTTAAAACGTTAAGAGAGGCTTTGTACTCTGCTCTCTTTACTCTGATACATATAAGTCCAATCTATCTATTCATACAACAATAAAGCATAAATTTATGAGCTCTATTCAGCAGCTTTCGTTGGGTGTTGTTGATCTGTTCAGTATTGCCAGAGAGTTAAATGTTTTTATATTAGTTGGATTCTTATTGATACACAAATTTTCAGATCCAAACTCTCCTTCAAACAACAGAACAATTGCATTAAATACTGCATCTGTTTATCAGGATTATTCACCAGTAAAGGTGTTTCTTTTCGAGAGGTTTAATGGAAAAACAAAGCTACAGCTTAGCTGGTTTGTTATAAAAAAAAAAGTGTAATCGATTGAAACGTCTTTAAAATAACCTATAGCTCAACATTTAAGACAAGTTTAAATCCCTCTGAAAAATAATTACCTTTTAAATTTAGAAATAATATATTACAGACGGAACAGTATAGTGGAGGATGTTCTTTCAGGTGGATCATCTAAATAAGTGTCTTCCTAATTGTCAAACAATCTGGTGACATGTTTTCATGAGGCCTGTTTTAGTTTCCTATGCGCACATTATTTTAATTTACCTTAGACTAGGTAACCTAAGCCTATAAATCTAATAAGGCCAAATTCATCTACTCTCACTCCCACCTGGAGGCCTCCTAAATGCGACCGCTCATCATGGATAAACCATCCATAAACATTTACCAATCATTCAGTCACAGTAGGAGACATTACAGGACAGGCCGGGCTGTCTTCACCAGAAAACCCTACCTTCTCTAAAAGGTAGTAAAAAGCGGGGTGACCCCAGGGAAATCCCACTCTCGGCCAATTCAAGCAAGAAAACCTAATTTTTAATCTGACAATTATCATTACCAACTACTTAAAGAACCTTTAAGCCAATCAGGTTTTGAGTCTTTCTACATCAAAGCAAAAAATGGCATAAAACTTAATCTTGGTGGGTCTGGAGCACAAAGCTTCCATGTTTTTCATCAAGACAAGATCACAATAAATTAAAAAGTATAAATCACAATTAGGTAAAATGAAGAATTATTATGGCCCGAGAAAAAGGCAAATGATGAACAGCACTGTCGCTGATTAATTCTTTCAGTGTCTCTATCACTCATCAATCTAATCAATCAATCAGAGTCTCGTATGGCCTCCTCCACAGCCCCTTTGGTCTCCCTGCAGTCCAAAGGCAGATAGATGCTGAATCCATGTGGTGGTTCTCATGGAGTGTTCTCATCAAAGTTCAACATTCCATTCCTCCTGGATCCTCCAACACAGAGAGTGCAGTCAATGTTCAGAATAAGCAGTGTCTTTAATGAGTAATCGTACTCGTACTCGAACATACAACTCTTTATGACTCATTAGAACCAAGCTTAACTTCAATTACTTTTACCAGCATACCTGTGAACAGAAGAGAGAGACATGTTATCAGACCGTAGCTCATTTACTTCTGAGCTGCGGCTGAGAGAGAGCCCTCTATGTCCACATTGGCACTACTGCACCCTCTGCT